GATTAAGAGAAGAACAATAAGTGTTCCACCAAACTACCGAACCATATATTAAATATGGATAAATCAATGAGTAGTAGAGGTTCCTAAGAATATCACTGCTAACAAAATGTCTTATCTTTGATAGTGCTCCAACGTTACGTTTTATCTTTTTTGAAAGCATTGAAATATGTGCCTTCCAGTTCAGATGACAGTCAATCACGACTCCTAAATAAGAGGTGTCAAATTCTTGTTTAAGTGGCTGACCATTCAGTGAAATTTTCACTTGATAATTAACTTTCTTTTGAACTGGATGAAATATAATATAATTAGACTTTTCTAGATTAAGAGATAACTTGTTTGCACATAGCTATCGATGGACATGCGAAATTTGATTGTTGACAATAGTTTCTAATGTTACTAAATTTTTATCAGCATAAAAAAGATTTGAGTCATCAGCAAAAAGTTGAATATCAAGAACACTAGTAGAGTTTCGAATATCATTGATATATAGAAAAAAGAGAAGAGGTCCAAGAACTGAACCTTGAGGTACACCACAAGATACATTTAATAGTCCAGATGAATTACTTCCTACTGAAACAAATTGTTTTCTGATCCAAGTAAGACTTAAACCAATTATGTGATATACCCGTTATTCCATAATATTCCAGTTTCTGTAGAAGGATGTTGTGATTGACTGTATCAAAAGCTTTGGACAAATCTAGGAATATACCACAAGAGTAGTAACCATCCTCAACTGCCCTTTGTATTCTATCTGTAATTGATAAAATTGCATGTAAGGTAGAATGTTTTGATCGAAATCCAAATTGCTTGCTATGCAATATATTCTGTTTATTGATAAAATTACTAATTCTTTTAAACATTAGCTTTTCAAGTAATTTATTAAATACTGAGAAGGTGGAGTCGCAGACATGCATGGACCAGATTGACGAAATTCAGCAGTTGACCAAATTGTTGGGTGTGGAACATGCTACTGGTGATGCTAAATATCTGAATGATTCAAGCTTTGATTAGGAGAATGATGGAGACAAGGATTCTGAAGAACAAGGATTGTAGAGGAGACACATTGTATCCTGAAAATTAAGACAAGGATGGTGGAGAACACTTTGTATCCTGAGAAGTTTGTTGTAGTTTGTTCCTGGCAAGAACAAAGATACCAACAGGCTCTTGTGATAATCATGTATAGATGATCAAAAAATCTCAAGTTGGAATTTAAAGTAGAACATGAGCAAGATATTTTTAGTTGAGATTTCCATATAAATTTATTCCTATTAAAACATGTATTATTATTTCAGGTAAATATTTGATACTATAATTTTACCATTCCTTTTTCAAATAAAAAATGTTTTCAAACTCAATTTGCTGTGTTTGTTTACTGCAGTTATCAAATCCTGCTTTATCTTACAGTCCACCTTGTGCATGTGTTCTTAACACTGTTTTCACTGTTGTATATTTAGCACAGATGGATCCAGTATGATGTGGTAGGGAGCTTGCTCTGCCAGTTCTGGTGCCGAGTTGTGGCGGTCATATGCACCGCCCACCATCAACTTACTTGACTAAACAGCAAAGCTTTACTTGACTACTGTATTTCAATTGTAATTGTTGTTAAAAAACAGTTCACTTATCATCATGTTATTATTCAAATTACTCACTTTGTCTCTAATATTTTTTGCTTTATCATGCAAATAGCCCCCCCCCCCCCACATACCCTCTTGCCAGGACTAGGTGGGGGTGCACACGCCCAGTAATCCCTGATATTTAGTGGTCATAATGCAATGGTCATACACAATTGATGTTAATAAAATGCTTTATTCAAAGTTACAATATATAAAGTAAATACTTAAAGGTAGGTTACAGTCGCATCTGCGCATGCGTTGGACTTTGTTTACGTTTTTTGTTTTGATCCACATTAATTATATAAGATGAAGTATATGACGAGTTCAAAGTAACATTCCACATAATTTGTGACCGAGGAGTGCAATGTTTTACAATACTTCGCTGCATTTATTGTACATTTCTACACTGGAAATTTTTGTACACAATAACACAATCTTATACTGTAACTCTTTAACTGTAAACATTGTGAATAAACAGGCCGCTTTGAACCTTGTGTGACTTGCTATATACAACAGCTGGGGCGGCGAACCGAAATCCCGAAGGTGTGAGTTCGAATAATTTGTGTTTAGTGTTTACCTTTGGAGTTTGTGTCTAATCACGAAAATAGTTCATGTGGTATCAATCCCTCGAAACATGTTGCCAGAGTTGTTGTTGTCATTATGACAGAAGCACTTGGGGAAAGCTTTTCGCTTGACGAAATTCGAAACAAGTGTGATTGAGAATGTGGCTGCAGTTCCTGTCTTCGTGGCAAAGCCAAGGGCGAAATTTTTGACCGTGCAAAAGCTGGATAAACAGCTTTTGTTCAAGCTCGTGCGCGCTATGGAGATAATTTTGGATGCTGTTTTAATATAAACAACAGAAGAGTTCAATAGATTGACAGTGACGAGAGTACGAGACGCTAAGATTATATTCAACTTTTTTGTGTTATAAAAATGTATGTTTTGAAATTATGAACTGGAAGTATGAATTCATTGATATTACTCTCATATTGACACTAAATGATGATATTCTTGTGACACTGAATGATCAAATATTAGCTTCAACAATTCTGGTGATCAGGTTACTTCATCATGTCTCTTCAAGACGGAGGACAATTGCTAAATATATGCTTGTTTCGCTCTATATCAGAGCTCATCAGAATGCCCAGGAAACACTGATGAAATTTTGATTTACATCAACGAATCTTTCTTTTTTTAACAGATTTATTGGGTTATATGGTAATATACATATATACAGACATTAAAGGAGAACTCCAAGGGGTAAAGCACAAACATGACTCCAGGGCTTTATTTATAGCCTTTATATGCCCCCTAAATATAATTACAGTTTGTAACATGAACAATCAGAAAAGCACCATTTACATAAGAACCTGTTTAGGCTAACTTGGAAAAAATTTAGGTTCTTATTCGCAGGGTTTTACTGTGTTGTCTAATTTTGTCCCAAAACAGACCATGCACGGCAGCCTGTTCTGGAACATACAGTAGATAATGGGATGGTGCCACTCTTTGTGACACAAAATCAGGCAATTATAGTACAATATGAACTGGCAAGTGTCTGGCACCTTAAAACCAGATTGCTTTGTGTAGATGGAGCTCATAAGCCTTGGCTGGCAATCCACCTAGGAGAAAGAAAGCTCTGATTTCAAACCCCCAGACCCTACTTTTGGACAAGACATGTATAGTAACTATAACTATATCAGTCATGATCATCTAAAAATGCCAGTATATATGCACTTATACAAAGCTGTATGCACTGTAAAGCTACACTTTATTTATCTCAATGACATTTTCAGGGTTCTGGATCATTTTCATTACTTTGTGAAGAGTTTATTCTCTTAGATTTTTATATATTTTTAGATCTGACTGGTCTCCATGTGATAAAATAAGAACCTGAAATACCACCCTAAACAGATTGGGTGTCTAAATACTGAATAAATTAGCCTGACAAGCCCTTATATAGGTTCTTATATGCAAGCTTTTACTTACAATTAGGGTGGAAAATATACTAGTAATTATTAGTTGAGTTTGTTTACATCATATAAGTATTTGTGATCAAAATCTTTTATAAACTAAATCAGTAAATGTCTTAGGGGTGTTTATATGGAGGCAAGCCAGCCCGGTTACCTGAGCTAGGTGGCTTTGCCTAGCTAATTTCATCATGTAGCAGGCTGGCCCCAAAACAAATCATCGTGAGAAACTGTCATGACCGTCACAACTGTTCACAGAGGCATTAATTTATAAAATTATAGATCAAAAATCTGTTGAGAAAGTCTTATTTACTACAATTAGTACAATATATTTGTATTCAGCGGCTTAGGCAAACCAGCCAACCTAGGCGAGATCTGGGGCTCTGTTGAGCTTCACAAATTAAACAAGATCTCGCTTAGGCAAGCCAGCCTGGTTCTCATATACACACAATACAAATATTAGTATAAATTATCTAGCAACATTAGATCTCGGCCAAGCGAGCTAGCTCAGGCACCCGAGCTGGCTTGCCTCCATATAAACACTCCATTAGGTCAAGTACTGTAACTTCATAACAACTAAAAGGCATGTAAACTGTTATGTGCTTTGATCAAATTAAAATCTACTTTGACTTTGATCAGAGAAACTTTTTGATGTGTTTCTATCAAGTTTTAAGTGAGCACAAGTTGGCCATGAGCAGACAGTCAAAGACAGTAAAGCACTGCCACAGGCTCACAGCCAAGTAGATTATCAAGTGACAATAACACGTCTATATAAACAGCCATCCAAAAGTCCCAAACATGTTCACTCCAAATTGTTCATTATTTTTTCATCGACAACTCACTACTCTCGAGTATCCTATCTTTAGGCCTTTATAATTATATTATGGGTTTCAGTTTGTAAATAAAATAAATAAACAGTTCGTATATATTAACGATAGTGAAATAGTGTAATAAAGAAAATTTTATAGTCATTAAAACCTCGATTGATGGGCTTCAACAAGCGATTTCTCTGAAGGATCAACATTGCAGCTATGTTGGGAGCAATCTCCAATCCTTCTTGGATTCTTTTCTTGACAACCTTTGGTAGAAGCTTGAGGATGCAGGTATATCATGGCCATTCATAGGCAGACGCAGAAATGGAATGCGCTCTCCATCGAGGAAAACAATAAAATAGATACACTTTGATACACTTTCGAAGCATCCCTGTTAGCGTAGTATCCTTTCCTACACGTCATGTTGCCTAAATAACTCGTTATTTGACGGACTGTCGCTCAAAAAAGCTCAAAATATTTTGGAAACTTCTTCGCTCCTTGGGCATTTAAATTCACTTGCGATAAAAACAACGCGCGTGTTATTGCCAGAAATGAGACTGGACCGAGCACAAACAGGGGATGACAACTTCCTGTGTGTCCCCACATAAACAAAAGTCCAGCAGATGCGACTGTAACCTACCTTTAAAATGTTGAAGGGTACGTTTTATACATTCACTAAAACTGCTAACCATGTGCTACTACTACTAGGCTTACAACGAGGTTGCTATTGGCTTAGTGGCTTACTCAAATATTTTATATTGTAGTTAGTGCAGAAGACAGTGCTGAAGCATATGCTTGTTTTAAGAAGATGGATTTGTATTATCGTAAAGACGACCCAGGAAATGTCAACAACGGTAACATAAGTTTTTCTACACGCTATTGAAGTGAGACAGGATTTGGGTAGGATTTGTGAGTCACGATCTTTCTCAACGGCCAGATCATAACATGTTTTATAGCGATAAACCACATATAAATTTAATTGTTCTTTAATGATTTTTAGTTCTAGACTGTTATATTTCGGCTGTTGAGAAAGATCGTTACGACCATATGAAAACCCATCCTCGTCCCCAGGCCCAAGCTCGGGCAGCCCTCACAATGGGGGCCGCCCGAGCTTGGACCTGGGGACGAGGATGATGGAAAACACGCTTTAGGATCTAATCACATGAGCTTGACTTATGCGCGAATCAAATCGAAACCTTGACATCCCCCGGGCATACCTGGGGGGATTTGTTTGTTTAGTATTTGAAGAAGGCGGGAATTTGACTTTTTTTCTAGTTGAAGGTGTTTGAATTTTTCTTTTAAACACGTGTGCCAAATCCAAAATGGCGTCAATGAATGAGTTCAAGTGCGAAGGAATTAACTTTGTCCTTGGTTGGCTAGAAGAAAACGGCTTTGGACGATCGAAGAGAGTTTTTAAATGGAAGAAAAACTTTGTAATTCCAAAATTACGAAATGCTGTGGCTTCCAATTCGTACATGGGGTGGGGTATTTGGACTCCAATTTTTCCCAATAAGTGGTGTATTTGAACGGGAATTACAAAGATATGTAGGGAATTTGACCTGACCAAAACGTCAAAATCCAAATTCCCGGGGGGGATGTCAAGGTTTCGATTGATTCGCGCATTACTGGGAAACCCCCTTTAGTGAAATCAGCATGTCCTTGTTAATAATGGATATGTGAAAATCATGGTGCGCTAATGTGAGAGACGAGCCATACATGAGTTATTTAAACAGGTTTATAACGGTCGATAATCGTTTAATTGCCGAACAAAAACTCGGAATGACCGATTCATTTTATTTTCCACGGATATTTTGACCGATTCAATAAAATACTGACACTGTTCTCATTACAGTTAAAAGTATATTATTTGATTAGCACTGTTCAAAGAACATGAGTAAGAACACAAAGCATTTTTTCGCTTCAATGCGACAAGCAACAAAATTATATCACAAGTATATGGTTTATCAGGGTTCGTACAAAACTTCGTACAAACGTCCTTGAATTTGAAAACAAAAATTCAAGGCCTTGAATTTGTAAAGAAGTACTTGAAAGTCCTTAAATTTTTCTTGCTTTAGTTTTTGGATATTTTCTGAAATTGTTTGACATTCAAAACGGCAATTTTGTTGAATTGATTTTGCATGTTCATATCTGAAAAGGCTGTTTGAAACTCATTAAAGTTGCGTTTTAAAAAATTCAACGTCAGATTTTACTGATTTCTAACCCCATTCAGTATTTAGTCCTTGAATTTGCTGATACATATCCTTGAAAAGTCCTTGAATTTGACTCTTCCTCACATGAACGAACTCTGGTTTGTAGAATATTCGAAAACAATATCCGCATGGGACTGAAACTTTTCGGTTGCGTAGATCTTTGGCACCGCTTACCATGCAAAGTCATTACACAAGTCATGTGATTGATCATGCGGGAATTGATCAGAACTAGCTATCAAATAATGTAAATATTGAAAACCTGACCGACCAGTATTATAGCCATGCATGCAATGTCCGAGCGACTGCAAATTTGACTGGACCTTTGTTAGACTCAATATATAGAGAATAATACATGGGTGCGCGAAAATACCAGATCTATTTCGAGTGTTGAACATGATATCTCACGAGTGAGATATCATGTTCAACACGAGAAATAAATCTGGTATTTCCAAGCACCCATGTATTTTTCTGTTTATTGTACAAACAAAATTGAGTGAAAACAATAAAACGTCCGTGGCAATGCGTTTTACAACAAATGATATTTTCACACGTAAAAATATCGTATTTTTTGCGTGTGTTTAAATACGATTTTTCTCAGTGGCCAAAAACTCTATATAACACTTATGTTTATATAATAAAAAATCATTATCCAGTATTATACAATTACTTTATGTTTTCCGTGTTTGGATGGCCTGATCCAAACACGCGGGAATGTTGCGAGAGTTACGAAAAGCGCGCGAAACACGAGCCGAAGGCGAGTGATTTTGCGCGCTTTTCTTAACCCGAGCAACATTCCCAAGTGTTTGGATCAGGCCATCCAAACACGGAAACCATAAAGTAATTGTTTTATAAAATAACAACAACACGATAGTATCGTATTTTTTGCGTGTGTTTAAATACGATTTTTCTCAGTGGCCAAAAACTCTATATAACACTTATGTTTATATAATAAAAAATCATTATCCAGTATTATACAATTACTTTATGTTTTCCGTGTTTGGATGGCCTGATCCAAACACGCGGGAATGTTGCGAGGTGTCGACCAATCAGAGCAAGTGTTATATACATGTTATTTTATAATTGTAAATCTCAATGACGTCACGAAGCGGTAAATTGCATGCTGTAAAAGTGAAAATGTTTATCGAGATGGGAGAAAATGTTCCATTAAAACTAAACTTTTATTCTGGCCAAAATATTACGACGAAGTTCTACACCATACGGTAAAAACATTAATTATGGATGTTTCTAAAAAAGATCAGAATTTACATTCTTTATGTATTTTAATTTTAATTTGCATTTAATTTTTAGACTCGCTCGAGTGTGGGAGGTAAGAATGAAATATTGTAGAAACGTTTTTACAGAAACACACTGTTTGAAAAACGCGTGTGGGTTTCAGAAACATTGCCAAATTTGGCTATTTAGATAACTTGCATGCTTAGTTACTTCCGCCGTTTGTTTGTGTGTGTGTGTGTGTGTGTGTGTGTGTGTGTGTGTGTGTGTGTGTGTGTGTGTGTGTGTGTCTGTCAGCACGATAACTCGAAAACTATCAAACGTATCAGTAATACGAAAATTTGCGGTGGAATTATTAGACATTGCCCAAGGCCAAATTGATTAAATTTTGATTCAATTGTAGTGAAAAGTGGATGAGAAATTGGCAAAAGTTTGCCGGGCATGATGTAAAGTCCGTAATGTAAACAAACGCTTTGTTTACATTTTGAACTCAGTGCTACAGTTGTAATATATATATATATATATTATAAATTAGATATATATATATAATTAGATATATATTATACTGAATTTTTAACACTCTTGTGGTTCGCTATGCTTGTAAATCAATACGGACTAGAGATTCAATTCAAGAAAGTTCGGAAGGTGCGAAATATTAACAACATTCCAGTGGTCGTGTTCCGACCATTGGAATGTAGGCCATGCGCAGAACGTACGCGTAGAACGGACTTTACATCACCTTTAACTTTATTCGCTGGCGGAAATATGCAGCCCCCGTACGTGTGCCCTCTAATATAGGGCTTTGGTGGCGCAGTCGTCAGTGCAAGCTCTTTTCACCTCTGAGTTCGTGGGTTCAATTCTCTCTATGGACTCATGTGAAAAGATTCAGTCAACGCTCTGCCGAAAGTCGTTAGGGGTGCACCGGAACTCGGTTCCGGCCGGTTAGTTCCGGCCGGAACCCCGATTTTTTAGAGTTCCGGTTCCGGCCGGAACTAGTAAAAAAAGCATGGCCGGAACCGGAACTCTGTTGTTTTCAGAGAGATAGAATATCAAACGTTTTTGTGTCTAACGAAAGGTCACAGTAGGAAGAAATTTGGACTACGCAAGGGAAATGTACACCATTAACACTTCATTGTGACGTTTAACGCTTGTCAATCTTTTTATTCTAATATTTGCGAGCTCTCTCCTTGATGACTTGAAGTGTCTGCCTGTCTGGCAGCGGACAAAGTAACATATGACAATATATGGCTTAATAAATTAGTTCCGGTTCCGGCCGGAACTTCCGGCCGGAACTTTTTTCCAGTTCCGGTTGGATCCGGTTCCGGCCGGAACTTAAAAAACTGGTTCCGGTGCACCCCTAAAAGTCGTGGGTTTTCTTCGGGCGCTCCGGTTTCCTTCCACAGGGAAAGTTGACAGGGTGGGTTAGAATAAACACAGTGTCAGTTAGGAAAGTTATATCTCAATTGTTGTAAAGATAAATAATCTAGGTCAAGTAAGTAACATGAGCGTAATACTTGATGTAATTGGTCACTGAAAAGCCCCAATGGGGAGTCAAGAGGGAAGAGCCTGGGTACGAGGTTGATGGGGAGTGTGCTGAATAATAGTGTAATGTAATGTAATGTAGTTACTCGTAATATCGAGACATATTACGAGACATATTAATGTAGTTACTCGTAAATTCTCGATGTTACACTTAATCTCGTCCAGTAATTATTGAATATCTGATTATTGACGGGAATATACAAAAGACGTTTTATATATTTAGTCTATGTTCTTAAGTACTAACTTCCTTCCACTCTATAGATCTTACAATTCCTCTCTGGTGAAAAATACAAATTTATTGCTGGTTATCGTCAAAGTTCAAAACAGCTCTTTAACCTCTTTTTGCGATAAAAAGTTGACTACTGCGGAAGAAGATATCCTTTTTTATACTGCAGAGATACAGTAGATACTTTTTACTTGAGGATGTATATATTTTAGAAACGAAACTATAGGTATAATGATTATCAATGTTTACTCCATCAATTCATAGTTCATTTGCATTTGCAAAATATTTAAAAAGGCAACCGCTTTAGGTGGGTCAGGTTAACTTGTATTCCAGCCACTACACCGCTGTGTGTGGACCAGCCTAGTTCCTAGGCCTCTTAATACGCCTTAGTACGCGTTCTCATTAAAGGTTCGGTCACACGGAGCGACAAGTCGCAGGGGCATGTTGCAGGGACATGTCGCCCGAAACGAGTCACACGAAGCGACAACGCTAGGCGAAAACAAGTCGCACAAGCGCTTACAGGCGCGTGGTCACACGAGGCGACAATTCATGCGACAAGTCAAAGAACTCCCATGAGGACTTATATTGAAATTGAGCGTGCAAGTAGTCATGGGAATGATATTTTGTGATTGGTCGGACTAATTATTTCCCCGCGACTTGTGAACAGACTAGCTCACACGATGCAACAAGTCGCGGCAACGGTTTTTGTCCCCGCGACACGTCGCATGAAATCAAATCAATTTGATTTCATGCGACATGTCGCGGGGACAATTTTTTGTCCCCGCGACAACGCTTACACATGTGACACACGATGAAATTCGACCCCGCGACATGTCCCTGCAACATGCCCCTGCGACTTGTCGCTCCGTGTGACCGAACCTTAAGAGGCAATTTGCAGTGAAAAGTGTTCAAAACCTAAAATCTTTTTGGCGTTCCTTTCAAAATTACTTTGTTTTAGCTTTATTTAATAGTTTATAGAGTTAGCTACCTTCTTAAATGCATCTGCCGGTTGAGAAACATAAAATAAAAGTTAAAAATTGTCAATTAAGATACAATTATGAATGACGCTTTAAAATTGACGCCATATTTACAGCCATATAAGCAAACTTACTGAACTTCAGACATCATTTTCTCTTTGGCGTACCAACTAAAATCTTTTCATTTTAGCATTATTTTACAGATAAAGCACTAAACATACTTTTTAAGTTTGTTTGCCGATTGAGAAACGTATCGAAAAATAAAAATTTTGAGTTTAGTCATAACAGCAAGTGGTATATTACACTCATTAGTTTTGAGCGCGTATTACATAACATACAAAAAAATCTCCTCTTAATATGCTGGCGGTTATTTCATTCGGTGACTTCACGGGTTAGTAAAAGGCGTTGCACAGAGGACTAGGGACTAGTCTGTGTGTGGACTGTGCAATAATCCTGTGAATAATCTCAAATTTCTCGTCCAATGATTTCCAGCACAAAGTTGAGAAAATTTATGCATGACCCAGCAGATACTCTCAGAAGCATGGCAGCCAAACGAGTTGACCTGAGAATACCTGGAGGATATGGACAAATATATTATATATTGAAATTAATCCTGTTCCCAACTAACTAAACAAACTAATGTTTAGTTATTGGCAGAACATAATTTTACTTACTCAACAGAAATTCGACAAAAGTCCAATCTAGTTTAACGTACAACATTCGTTATAGTTGCATTTTCTTAGTTATTTTGTATGGAAACGTTGCTATCCTTGACCATAATTACTTAATTTTGAAGGATCATGTGATCCAGATGACAATTATCGGGTTCCTGCAGTTACCTATGGCGAATGTGTTCCAAATGACACGGTAAGTAAAATACTTATGCTCAATAATAATCCGCGATATATATATATATATATATATATATATATATATATATATATATATATATATATATATATATATATATATATATATATATATATATATATATATATATATATATATATATATATATATAGCTTACGATTTTGGTTTACGAAACACAAACAGTGCTCAATACCATATAGATAGAGCGTAATATAGTTTTTCGTTTTACCTCAAAAAACCACAACAGTCTGTTTCATCCGTATAGGAATCATCAGGTGGTGAATAATTTCGAAATTGTAGGTTGCTTTTATGCTATCGAAAGAATGTGCGGAATGCGTGTAGGCAAAACAATGCTTAGGTGAAACAATGCATGCTTGGGTCATTAGGTTTTGTTAACGACCTTGTTTACTCGAAACCGGTTTTTGTGACGACATTTGCCGAAAATTTCGCTCCTTTTATTGAGTAAATTGTCTTTGTTTATGTCTTTCAAAATGCAGAATTTTTCTTCAAAACATAAATTGCAGCGTTTTGGTCCCCTTGTGTACGAAATAGCGTGTTTTAAAATTGACCATTTGATGGTATAATCCTGATTGTTTTCTTTTAATTTCCAAATATGTTTTGAAAGTTCCGTTTTGTTTGAGTCTTTTTTATGACGAAAAGATGAAGTGTGGTTAGCGTAACGTTCCTTAAATGTAGTCGCTGTCATACCAATGTAGTGTTTAGTGTCGTTCGTGTTGTTCGTTGTGACTGTTGCTTTGTAAATAATGTTGTTGGTCATGCATTGTTTCGGTAGTGGGCAAGTGTTCCGTATTCTGTGATTGACTGTTCCTAATTATATGTGCGTTGTGTTTGGTGATTATAGACTTAACGTTGTTCATGCAACTGTAGCTTACTTTTAAAGTGTTTCTGTTAAAAATCTTGTGTAGTTTGTGCTGTAGCGGGAAGTGTTTGTCAATTAAACTTAAGAATTCCCGTCCTATGTTCTAACACTCTTACTAAATGGTGGGTTGAACCAAATTATGTTGCGTTGCCTATTCCTACGTGTCCGTTGCGGTGCATTCTCAGTGTATGTAAATTCATGATCAAAGTTACTATGTGTAAGAGCGTTCTGGTAAATAGGTGTGGATTCCTTAAATGTTTGTTCGTCCGATGAGAGAAGTGCAATGCGTTTGTTGATAGCTGTAGGTAATTGTCTTGTAATGCTTGGTGGATGGTTTGAGTGTTTGTGGATGTACAATGGATCGTCATTGGGTTTCCTGTATGGTTTGTGTTTTGCGTTGATCAGGTCGAAAGTAACATCTAAAAAATTTACAACGTTCATATTTACTTCGGCGGTGATTTTAAGGTCAAATTGCTCGAAAATTTTGTGTAGCTCTTTTCTAGTTTTGTCTAGTAAACGGGCGGATTTGCTTAATACAACGAACTCTTACATGATAACATCACGAAAACGTACAAACATGGATCAGAGGACTTCATACATGAAATTGACTCCGAATTGAAAGAAATTTCGAGTAAGTTAGGAATTGGCGACAGAATTGAACGAATGAAAAAACGCGAAGCATTTATATCTTTAAAAGAGCACAAAGAAAATTTCGAAAACAATCCAAAATGCCGACTAATTAATCCCGCAAAAAGCGAATCCGGAAAACTAAGTAAGGTTATTTTAGATAAAATTAATCCCAATTTGAGACAAAAACTAAATTCAAATCAATGGAGAAATACGCAACAAGTAATTTCATGGTTTGGCAATATAAACGATAAAGACAGGCACAGTTTTATTTCATTTGATATTGTGGATTTTTACCCATCTATTTCCGAAAAACTTTTAAATGAAGCATTGGCCTGGGCTTCGGATTTGACTACTATTACAGAAAACGATATTTCAATAATAAAACATGCAAGAAAATCTCTACTTTTCGGCAACGGCAAATTATGGAAAAAAAAGACGGAAGCAACAGTTTATTTGACGTCACTATGGGTAGTTTCGACGGCGCTGAAATTTGTGAGCTGGTAGGCCTTTTCATTTTAAATCACTTAGGTAAGAGGTTTGGCAAGGAAAACATCGGACTTTATAGAGATGATGGTTTGGCTATTATAAAAAGCAAATCCGCCCGTTTACTAGACAAAACTAGAAAAGAGCTACACAAAATTTTCGAGCAATTTGACCTTCAAATCACCGCCGAAGTAAATATGAACGTTGTAAATTTTTTAGATGTTACTTTCGACCTGATCAACGCAAAACACAAACCATACAGGAAACCCAATGACGATCCATTGTACATCCACAGACACTCAAACCATCCACCAAGCATTACAAGACAATTACCTACAGCTATCAACAAACGCATTGCACTTAATTCTCTCATCGGACGAACAAACATTTAAGGAATCCACACCTATTTACCAGAACGCTCTTACACATAGTAACTTTGATCATGAATTTACGTACACTAGGATGCACCGCAACGGACACGTAGGAATAGGCAACGCAACATAATTTGGTTCAACCCACCATTTAGTAAGAGTGTTAACACGAACATAGGACGGGAATTCTTAAGTTTAATTGACAAACACTTCCCACTACAACACAAACTACACAAGATTTTCAACAGAAACACTTTAAAAGTAAGCTACAGTTGCATGAACAACGTTAAGTCTATAATCACCAAACACAACGCACATATAATTAGGAACAGTCAATCACAGAATACGGAAACTGACAACTGTAACTGCGACAACAAAACACTTGCCCACTACCGAAACAATGCATGACCAACAACATTATTTACAAAGCAACAGTCACAACGAACAACACGAACGACACTAAACACTACATTGGTATGACAGCGACTACATTTAAGGAACGTTACGCTAACTACACTTCATCTTTTCGTCATAAAAAAGACTCAAACAAAACGGAACTTTCGAAACATATTTGGAAATTAAAAGAAAACAATCAGGATTATACCATCAAATGGTCAATTTTAAAACACGCTATTTCGTACACAGGGGGATCAAAACGCTGCAATTTATGTTTGGAAGAAAAATTTTGCATTTTGAAAGACATAAGCAAAGACAATTTACTCAATAAAAGAAGCGAAATTTTCGGCAAATGTCGTCACAAAAACCGGTTTCGAGTAAACAAGGTCGTTAACAAAACCTAATGACCCAAGCATGCATTGTTTCACCTAAGCATTGTTTCGCCTACACGCATTCCGCACATTCTGTCGATAGCATAAAAGCAACCTACAATTTCGAAATTATTCACCACCTGATGATTCCTATACGGATGAAACAGACTGTTGTGGTTTTTTGAGGTAAAACGAAAACTATATATATATATATATATATATATATATATATATATATATATATATATATATATATATATATATATATATATGTATGTATATGTATATATATATATATATATATATATATATATATATATATATATATATATATATATATATATATATATATATGATAGGAAGTAAAATAAATACATATTTTATGTCTCTCAGGTAATATATAAACGATGGAGTTCTCCGAGAGTAATATCACATACGTACCCTTTTCTAGATATATGCAAAATTAAAAGCAAAGATTAACATACGATAGCATTCACGTATTCATTATTCATTTACGTATTTCCTGATATTGTTTGAACAATATGGCGACAAGGAGATGAGTTGCGTTGAGACATATTGTTGGATAATTGAAGCATAACAGGTAACATTTCATGTGGCGTCACCTTAAATAATCGTACGAATGTGTGTGTGTATTCCTTCCTTTAAGTGCCCATCCAGGGTCACAAGGCCTGGACATTTGCTTCGGTAAATGAGCTCACGAGTGGAGGAATGCTATCGTATGTTAATCTTTGCTTTTAATTTTGCATATATCTAGAAAAGGGTACGTATGTGATATTACTCTCGGAGAACTCCATTGTTTATATATATATATATATATATATATATATATATACTACATATATTATATATATATATTTATATACTACATATATTATATTAGGATAATTGCCTTAAAATGTAGTCGTTTTTGACATTAAAACTTTGACTTGCTGCGGGAGTCTTGCTCCAGATTATCCCAGTCTAATGTGCGCAATTCTAAAAATTGTTTTGGAAATAGCCATTGAGCGCACTGCGTGGTCGTGGTTCACATATTTCATGCAATATATACATTAGCAAATACACACACCGAATAATATACACTTAATGTCTGCTTCCTAGGGAAAAAGTTTGTTTTGTTTTCCCGTGAGTCTCAATGTTTCCCGAGACGAAGTCTAGGGAAACATTGAGATTCAACTAGGGAAAACAAAATTAACTATTTCCCGAGGGAACAGACATTAAGTGTTTGGTTATAAAGCGACGAACAAAATCATCATTCAACAACATTCATACAAAAATTGTATTTTGTGACAAAATCTCTATAGTGTCAACGAGTTTAAAATGAAAAGAACCTACTTAAACGGTTTCAGCAGCATATCCTGTTGTCTGTTGTGTATTTTTCTTGTCTTTTACATTCTTTATTTAAACAGAAACTTGGAAAATCGTAGTTTCTACTTGTGCCGCCATTTTGTTTATTTATGTGCGTAGCCGCTCGGGGCGGGCAGCAATTTTTCACTTGTTGCCCGGCGTGAAACGTTGCATTTATCAGAAGTCACGTGACCACAAATCCGGCCAATCGCGTTTGGTGTTCACTCTAGCTATTAACAATGACTTTTGTCAACCTTTCAAACCATGTTTACATGATATGTATATGCTAACAATGTTTAAATGTTTTACAAATTACTTTGCAAATTGCCAGTGAATCTATAATCTTAAATATCTTACCTATAGCCGGTGGCCCTACTAGATAACCAAATGCTGTGGCAGAAAGCATCAAAGCAAATGTTATATCTGAATATTGGTGACTAATTTCCATGGCAACCAGTGATAGCATAACCCAGTACACGCCATCCAGTACGCCAATTCCACCCATGTAGACTGTCATTAATATCAGAGATTGAGTGAATGAACAAAATGCACTAAATACTCCAAAAAGGATGATGACAAAGGATAGCAAAGTTCCCATTTTGTTGAATTTCATAACATAATCTGAAACGTACCCCGAAACCGACCTAGATACTATCGATAATAAACTGAATGTGACTAACATCCATTTCGATCTCGATATTGGATATCCTAAAGACCTTGCATATTGAATCTGTCAAGAGAAAGAGAAGAAATTTGAGTGGCTCTGTCCTAGCAGGATTTAACTCACATCCTGCCAGTAGATGACTGGAGTTTTCTGAACGAGAGAACGTTATTCGCTTTTAAGTTAATATCATAATTTTAGTCAATTTACTTGATTCTGATTGGTTAAAAACCGTCCCGATTAAACATTAATCGCACAGGTGCGCCTAGACTTGGTTCAAGTCCGTCTGAGGAGAAAAGAAGGGACAGAGGGACTTGGAACATTTCCAGCATTTCAATGTTACTTGCAAAAATTGGCGCGAAAATTTGTTGTTGTTCTCAACCAGTGAACTCTAACAATAACTGGAAGGCTAACTCCTATGATGAAAGTCTATGATTCGTTGAAGCCGGCGCGCGGGAAAATCAGCTTTCAAAAGGACTAAGGAGAGTTTCGAGGAGTGAAAAAAATTGTGTCAAAAGTTTGTTTTCGAGCAAAAATTTGCAGGGAAAACACTTTTCCCATGGGAATACAACGATTGGGATTTATACCAAGTTTCCGATTAGTTCCGACTGTTTTACATCTCTCTGCAGCAAAAAGTAAGGAATTTTGCTTTTGTATTTTGAAAATATGACGAACGTTTGGACGTGCCGAAGGAAATCTCGCCGTTCAAACCAAAAATATATACTATAAAACATTTTGACAGTCCCAAAACTTATGTTGTACTAAACCCCAGGTATTGTTATTGATCCTGAGCTTTTAGTCCTTGTTTTAGTCGCTCTTAAACATAAATAAATTGGCGTTTTTCAAGTGATGTTATTTTCGTCATCCGCATCTTGTTGGCCACTATGAGCACGTTGAATATGGCAATATTTTTGTCAATTTTCAAATGCTTTTTTTTCGACCTTAAAACGTTAAATCTTCTTGAAACTTCGCATACAGATGTATTTTGCATGGGTATAAAAAATTCCTGAGGTATGACGTCTTAGTTTTATCTTAAACTTCAAAAACTCAGAAAAAGCAGCCTAAAACGCGCGGTTTTTCAGACCGTTCATGCTTATGGTCGTGTTTTTCGCATTTTTTTTTGCTAATTCGTGATTTGTTTGCTTTGCGAATATTAAAGGTGCCCAACAGTCCGATCTGCGCATGTGCACAAAGGAGCCCACTTTTTATGATACAAACAGTTTAACTATGTTTTGGGTTCTTGCAAAGCCTGATTGTTGTTTCTTGATCATTTATTATACTCTAGAAACTTGAAAATATAAATAGTTGTCGAATAAAGCTCATTATTTTCGACACAAAAATGTAAACAAAGGCTTTGTTTACATACGGACTGTAGGGCACCTTTAAATTCATTTATCATACTACTGATATAAATTACGACCAATTTCACTTACTGCCGCTATTTCGAAAATCGCTGAGGACTGTGTTGTTAAAAAATACATTGCTCCAGCTATCATGAGTATAATCGATCCAAGTCAATATGGAGTAATACCAAGAAGTTCAACTACTCTCGCTGTTATATCTATGATCCATGAATGGTCGCAAGCTACTGATGGCACTGGCTCTGCTGTCAGAGTCATCCTGTTCGATTATAGAAAAGCATTCGACCTTATCGATCATGCTTTACTGGCTGATAAAATTTCCAATTTAGCTATTCCACGTGCGGTTGCTCGCTGGACAATCGATTTTTTGATGAATCGAAAGCAGAGAGTGAAATTATCCAATGACTGCTATTCGGAGTGTGGTGATGTACTTTCCGGTATCCCTCAAGGTACAAAATTAGGGCCCTGGCTATTTTGTTTAATGATAAACGATCTTGATATTTGTGATATATCGAGGTGGAAGTTTGTTGATGACACAACAGTTGCTGAAGTAGTTAGTAAGGACACAGAGAGCCGTGTTCAAGTCGCAGTTGATGTTGTGGAAGATTGGTCGAAGGCAAATGGGCTATCTCTTAACGCTGAGAAATGTAAAGAACTGAGAATCGATTTTAAAAAAATTAAACAACCTTTTGATCCTGTACTGGTGGGTGGAGAAGCATTGCCTATAGTTGAGAGTGCAAAAATATTGGGTCTTGTTATGACAGGCACACTTCAGTGGAAAGATAACATCAGAGAGAGTATAAAGAAAGCTAATAAACGCCTCTATTTTATAGTATTATTGAAACGGGCAGGCGTAAATGTCAATGATGTTTTGAACTTTTATTGTACAGTGATCAGGCCTGTGCTCGAGTATTGTGCGCAAGCCTTCCATCATTCCATCCCAAAGTATTTGGCAGACGAACTTGAGACTGTCCAGAAACGTGTGCTAAAAATTTTATCTCCTGAAATGACATATTGTGAGGCCCTTGAGTATTATAGACTGCCTACTCTATTTCAAAGAAGAGAGGACATGTGTGACAAACTCTTTACGAGTATCATCAAGGATCCAATGCATAAACTTCATCATCTGCTGCCCCCGAAGAACGAGACTGATTATTCTTTCAGGACGAATCGGTATTTTAATATGTACGTTACACGCACGAACCGTTTTTATAACTCTTTCATTCCTGCTATGTGTAGGAAGTTTGTAGGATAGATTTTATGCTTATTTTAATCGAATTTTGATCGAGGGTGGGTTTTATAATATTGTATTAATAATATATTTATATGTAGTGCATGTGATAATATGTAATCCACGCAATTCAGCTTCTGGCTGGAATGTGGTTTCAATTTAATAATAATAATAATAATAATAAATTAAAATTGGTAGTATAACTAATATTTTGGGGCAAGATTTTTCTGATCAAAAATGTGCATATTTTGAAAAAAAAAATAAAAAATAACTGGGTCTACCTACAAAAAAAGCTTCAAGCACGGCTTCAACTCTGACTTAGCCTTCTAGTTATTATTAGAGATCACTGTTCTCAACTCGCAAGCCACGCCTCCGTAGGAAAAATCCGACGGTAAAATTTGGCGCGCTTGTAGGGTATACAAGTACATCTCTCCCTACTTTTCTCTCATATTTTCACGCCTTTTTTGACCGCTCGCGTGCATCGCTATTTTCAACCCCGTGAGAGACGGACTTGAACCAAGTCTAAGGTGCGCCAATTAAAGATTAATCGGCACGCAGATACGAGCCCGCGTGGATTAAACACATGATGTCAAAATATAAATATTACAACAACTTAAAAATCTATATTTTCTGCATGAGCTTGTATTTTGCAATGAGCTCTTTCCCAGCGTGCAAAATGACGTTTGTTCACAGTTTTTGACAAGTATGAATTGAAATTTAATGTCAGAAATTAGTCTCAAAATTGACGAAGGCACGTATGGCTGTGCTCGCTCGACTAAATTAATATGATTGCTCGTGTAAAATTGACTATAAAATGATATTAATTGGAAATAACACTTGTTCTCGTGGTAGCCTATTAATGAAAAATCATACTCGTGTTTGGCGAAATATTTACGCGTAGCACACGCGTGCGATTTTTCATTAAATAATACAGTACTTCTCAAACCGTGAATTTCCTTTACTAATAAAACAGTTATGCTACTCACTCTCGCCCTATATGGCTAGCTGATAGCCAACTCGATGCTTGCACCTCGTCGGCTATATATCAGCTCATATAGCTACGACTCGAGTAAATTCGCAGAATAACTGTAATTGTATAACAGTATAGGTTTCTGCGCAGTACATGGATGAAATAAAAGTTGTGCCACACTTGAAATTTATTAGGTATTCCTGTATAATTATTATATAATTTTATTTAAAAGCCTATGTATTTATAGAGGGTCCTCAAGGGGTAAAATGGGTATTAGGGAACGGTCGGTCCTAGTGTAGGTAGCGACGATAACAAGGCAGCTCCGGATTGAGAGAGATATATACAATTACTGCACTTAATGTAAGCAGAAGTAAGTGCTTATATATATTTCAGATATATACCGTATTTACTCGATTGAGATCAAATTTTTGCGAAGAGCGCCGCTCCCGAATGTATGAGCGCCGCATGCACTAATTATTTTCAATCTTAGAACATTTTAATCGAATTCCGCTTAATAGAATCCCTCACAATGCGACGAATTTAAGTCTTCTGATGTCTAGCAGGCATATCCAACAATGGTTACGGTGCAGCAGTTGGACTCCGGAAGCTCTGAAACGCGGCGCTCAAACGAGAAAATACATGCAGTAGTTATATTCTATTAATATTAGTTGTATGTCCATGAATATTCTATTAACTATGATTTCCCTCAAATAAATCCGAAACTCTTTCATAACAGTGAATATTAAATACTTAATAATAATTACATCTGTATGCACAGTTTACCTTTTTTGACACAAGCACTTACCATGAACATGTTTGGGACATATTCCACGACAGAAAATAGAGCATTTCCGGTAAGCACCATCAATATCCTTTTATCTCTTAGTAATAACTTTATTGCTTTCAACAAGTCAATTTTAACTTTATCTTCTTTTCTTGTAGGCAACATGCTATCAGAAGAGTCTGTATCCTCAAGTGTCGTGAGCGGTTTATAGGTCAATGCATAAAGTATAAACATTAATCCCAAGCTGGAAAAGTAAGTCATCATTGTATGCCATCCCGCTAAGTCAAAGATGACAGGAATTAAATAGCTAAATATCATTGGTCCGACTGCACTCCCTGCGAAGCGTATTCCGGTTGCAAGACCAAGCTGCCTCCCAAAATACTCTCGTAAACTTACAACACTGACACACTCGTGGAATCCAGCAGCGATCCCGAACGGGATGGAGTAAGTTAGGAAAATATATTCCAAGTTAGGTACGTGTGGAGTTGCAAGGAAAGCAAGCACTGCAAGAATTGCAGAAGTAAACATAACACGACGTAATCCAAAATAACGAAAGAGATAAATTCCACCGAGCGAACTTATTCCCGCGCTAAATAGCAAGATGGAACCAACCCAACCTATATGAAACAAACGAACAAATGAAAGTTCAAGTACCATATAAAATGGATTAATCCAAGTATATAATCAAAGGGATGTTTATATAGAAGGATTTTGTTGTCAAAGAAATAATAACAAAATGCGTTTAATGGTATACCTCTTAACGAACGTAGTTCGGCTTAGTCATCATAAAAGGCCAAGCACTGACGCATGTTTCGAAAGTTTTCGCTTATCAGTGTCCTGGAAATATTTCAATCATAATAGTAGCCCTGTAGTTGATAATTGAGAATACCGCTAGATAAGCTTAAGCCTCTTGTGATGAAGAATATGTGATGAAATGCGATATGATGAAAAATGGCATTTCAGAGAAACCACATGAATGATGATACTAAAGGTGGTATAGTCATCTCTCGTCCGGCAGGTTTTCCGCTGGTGAGCAGAGCGGACCTTGGGCCGGTTGTATAAAACTCTTAATCACTTTTTTAATCAGTATTTTATAGTTAAATAGTGATTAACTCTCAAATAGGCGCTTCTTATTGGATGACATTTCCACTTGACTATGATTAACTTTAATCACTTTTTTATACAACCGGCCCCTGGTCGTGATCAAGCTACTACTGCTAGCTCATTGTGGACAAAGAAAGTAAACAATGTGGTGATAGAGAGTTAACGAGAATGGTGTTCCAATCAGAGATTATGGACTATACGAAGTTTGCGAGAAATGGAAAATACAAGTGTATTTCATTTGATTCAACACGCAGAACAAAGAAGATGCGACCAAGAAAGAGCTTTAAGGAAGAATGGGTGGTTACCCCATGTAGAAGTAGAAACTAGAAAGACTTCAATTAGACTCTAGAAGAGGAGGTTAATGTGCCGAGAACAAATTTTAGGAAATCATTATTGATGAGCAAACGGAATTATCAGATATGGAAGACATGAAGCAGAAAATTGGGGGTGAATTGACCAAACTTATAACATTGTGACAAAAACAAAGAAAGGAATAGTGTTAATGAAATCGTGTCAATATTGACATCAAAAGAAATCAACGAGGGCATCATCGTGTTTAAAAATAAGATCGATTTTTCCATCTGTCGTAGAGTACAGGAAAATCTGGTTTTGTGTGGTTAAATTTAAGCTTATCATCCAACAGATAGCTAGCTATTCACTCCCACGAATGCACAAAGAAATATTCGTCCTACACTATAGTCCCGGTAAAATGTATACCTGCTTCAGAATTAGTTCCGCCATATTCATTCAGAAATATGTCGAGAAATAGGCCAAATGAAAAAAATACACCACAGATAGGAATCGAAGTGAACACGACGAATAGAAGATAAATCCACGATCTCAGCTGATCCTTCTTCGTGTACGACATTTGTTCCTTTTAAATAAAGAAATGATATGATTGTATTAAAACCCCTGTAAAAATGTCAAGAGAGATAAGGCTGGAAGCTGGTTCCGGTGATAGATTGAACAAATTGTACAACATTATATTGAACAAATTATACACGGCCAGCACGGATCATAGATTGGAAATTATGATATTGACTATCATGTATATCCCTGTAGCTCAGTTGGTAGAGCATCGATCTAGTAATTCGAAGGTCGCGGATTCCAAACCCAGTCGCGAAACCCATATTATATATAAATACTTAGGTTTTGTTGTTTACAAAAACGTTTGGCAGAGTGCTCAATGGATATCCAGAGCATAATTAAATAATTATTTATATAGGCTAAAAGATAAAAGTCCATTCTGATTAGTATTCCTTATTTACAGAATACTAATGAGAATGAGACTATCTCGATATTTTTAATCCTCTGCTGTTAACAAAATAATCACTTAGATATACTGGAACCAAATCATTTAGGCACTTATAAGTTATTAAAAACTAAAATGTATTGATGCACAACGATCTTCAATTAGTAGCTAGTACGAGGGTAGCATGTTGATTGTTGATTCTCAAAATAACGTTAACTTGATTTGTTGTCAAACTTCATTGTCAGTATCGAGCCGCGGTTGTATGCAAGGCATATGGGGCAATTGATGAACGCATTGCCTAACGAGAGAGTCTCAATATCAAATTTACGCCAACCATCCAACGCGAATTTCACTGTCGGCCGCGCGTGCAGGCTTGCAGCTGTTGCTTTCATTGTGATGTAGCCTGCGAACAGGCTCTCATGCTGAATTGAGAGCCTGCATCGATGACTAATGAATTTGAATATCTGCGTCTCAAATCGTGACGCGAAATTCTCATTGGTCAGATGCTATAATTTATATGTTTCCGCTGAGCTCTATATATGTCAACTGCTGAAGCACCATGCATAAAAAACACATTAACTGATCAGATTGGTCTTGGCCATCTTATCTCAAAGCACGAAATGTTCTGTTTTGAGAAAACAGTATTTAAAACATTTGAACTATTGCTTGAATATCTTATATTTCGAAAAACAGTATAAACTGTACGGTCTAAATTTAGTTTGCACCAAAGTTGTAAACAACACCATATAAGGATAGACATTCCATATTTGGAAAAACGAACGTTACGGGGCAGATATTCAAATTCATTAGTCATCGATGCAGGCTCTCAATTCAGCTTGAGAGCCTGTTCGCAGGCTAATTGTGATGTGTTTTCTACTACTTTCGGATAAAGAATAATTGCGAGTGTTCAATTCGTGTTTATGGACTTTATATTAACGAAATAGAGAAAATAAACGTGTTTCCAGTAGCGTCTTGTCCAACTCTTAATTAATTTGAGAGCATGTTATAATATCAAATTTATGTCCATCCGCACAACAACGCTCGAATTACTTCACAGTCGGTATTTAGGCGCGGTTGCGGCGATACCTTCATTGCCTTCAACATGAGATGTACTTTTCCGGCGTTCTTTTCGATTGGTTGAAGTTATACTTTTGATTGGTTGAAGTCTAGTTATTTTTCGTGTCATTTTGCCGATAGTGAAGTCGAATATGTTGAGGATATATTTTACCCTTGCCGCCATCGATCACGTTGAGTTTGCTATGCTGAGTCAGATTTCAGTTATTAATTTATGTCTAGGGTAGATTTAGCTACTCGCAGGAGTATGTATTTTACAAATATGTTGTGTATGGTCAGCGTGGTTAAATAAATTTTTAAATTAAGTAATTAGTAAGCAAGTATGTATAAGGTTAAATGATTTGTTTAGGTAGGCTATATAGTGATTGTTTTGTGAGGAACCATATAGTATGATAACTGATTAGCATCCTCAGATAACGCATAACACTGAGTCACTAGAAGAAAAAATATCTATATCTTTCGAAACCAAAGCTTATTGCTTTTGAAATAAAGTATTTTATTATATACAAAAGCGAGAAGAGAAAGGGGCACCCGCGCAAGAGCACAAATCCATTTATCCGCGAGTTATTACCGATAAAACCTTTGCATTCTCGTGCACAGAGTCCTTGTTTTGAATCCGGTTTTGTCTATTTCGAGTCCGGGTTTTCAGAAGTCAAGTCCGGGTTTTGTTAAACACGAGTCCGGAGTTTCTTCGAGTCCGGGTCCGGGTTTTTCTCGAGTCCAGATTTTCTTCGAGTCCGAGTCCGGGTCCGAGTCCGGGTTTCGAAGTATGCCATTTTAATATACCATAGTCAAACAATTGAAAGGTATAAACTTGACTTTTCAAAGATGTTAAAAACCATTTACGGCACAGATGTTAAAAAACGTCTGTGCCGTAATTTGATCCGACGACCACCCCGTTAATATGACAAAAATCTTTTAGCCGAACGGTGGTCGTATTAACAGGGTTATTAGTCAACATTCACCGAAGCACGTAAACGAACGTATATTCAGTTATGTTAAATTTGCAAACGTAAGAAATTGAATTCTGATTGGCTCCACATGCAATATGTGTAAATGAGACCATAGATATGCATGTTGTTTGTAAAATGTGCGAATTCTAAAGACTTTATCATGTTGTCAGTTAATCACGATTCCGATTTGAAGCTATGTAGACATGTGTAGTCGTGTAGATCACTATAGAGTCTAGAGATTGCCTAACGTACTATTGCATCGTGCAAAAATATGTTTGCATATACAAAATTTTCATTCTCGTGAAGACATAGTCTATGTCCAACTATTTGGCATTTGCACAGAAAATATTTGAATCTTAAAACTTCTCCAAACACTAAGGGTCACAAGAGAATACATTAATTAGTCGTTCAGACTGGCCGTAAAAAAGTTCTAGCGACCATTTTCTTCTATAGATTTTAAATAAAAATTTTTGGCTCGCCGTGTTTATATACATGCTTCAATGCTGAAATATTGTTGATATGTACATGTCCTCGCTATAAATCTCGTAATGTCATGATTGATTCATGAGTTAAACTGACTGTTCACAAATATGTTTGCCTTTGGCTTTGGGAATCGAAATATTTACGAAACATACTGTATTGAGTAGCGCAATGACAAGTCTATAGTATAGACATCTGTTGCAATTTTGCCCTTTGGGAATTGTGTTTACTTTCATGCAAATTTATATAACAGTACAGCATAATATGATATGATATGGCATGGACTCCATTGAAATCCATTGAAAGTGAACTAAATTTTCGTGTACAAACAGCGGCCTACCTTGGTTGCCAGAGGCTCCGGCCAGGTCGACTTCCAAAGTTGTATCAGTTAATATTCTGCGGATATTCTGAGTTTTAGTTTACTAGGTAAAGAATGGTATGCATCAAGCGTGCCAGTTTTTCAGGGAATGAGTGAGACGTCTCGAGTTATAACATCTCATGTATGCAAGTTTCGCGTTTACGTCCCGTACGTAAGCAATCGTATGTAAATCACCAACACACTGCCAACTTTCGTGCGAATATATTATGCCAAACGTTTATCCAATAAGAGCTTGCTATTATACGGCTGAGAGCGGATTGAGTGTTATCAGCCAATAGGGAACTGTAGTTTTGACGATTGTTTCGTTCAGTACAGACACCTTAAGATTGACGTGTACGGCAAACGTCAAACCGCTAACAAAATTTTTGATTTTACAACTCTATTATAACAGCTTTTAAACCAGTTTTGAAATATACCAAACAATTATTAAACTTGTGGTATTTAGCAATGATTTAAGAAAGCAAATTAACCACCAGTCACGAATTGACCAAAGCAGTAAATTAAGATTTGGCGTTTGAAGTTTACGTTTGGCGTATAAATTTCATACTTGAACTGCTACGAGGGCTTGTGGTCGTTAAAGCAAAAAATTATACGCCAAACGTAAACTTCAAACGCCAAATCTTAATTTTATACTGCTTTGGTGAATACGTGACTAGTGTTTAATTTGCTTTCTTAACTCATTGCTAAATACCACAAGTTTAATAGTTGTTTAATATATTTCAAACCTGGTAAGCTGTTATAATAGAGTTGTAAAATCAAACATTTGTTAGCGGTTTGACGTTTGCCGTAAACGTCAATCTTAAGGTGTCTATTATTTGTTGATCGTTACAAACTCTAGCACTGTGTTCATGTGAAACCACTTTTGTGTCGTCATTAATTTAAATTTGTATAAAATTTTTAATTAATCCTACGACAAATAATGTTCAAAAAATTTTCGACTTGTTCTCAGATCATGATTCCTCTCATGAACCTATTTTGTTAATTAATACGGTACTTTAACACTTGTCACAATGCCAGAAACAATGCAAGTACGTATAGAAATAAGCACATGAATCCAAATAACGTATCAATTCTGTAAAGAATGCATATAATAAAACCCAGATGCGCCATCTATAGAATGTTAGAACACCAAACTCAATTTAATGTAAGTTGAGATTCCTTGCCCTAAAATACCCAAAAGCGTTAAGTTTAAATTGGCCGGAGTGTGTATATATAAATCGTAGATTATTACGTTTGTTCAATGCAAAGCGCTGTGGCAGCCTGTTTACAAGGAAAAGGCAATCTCTATATCGATCATTGTGAAGGCTATCGAGTAACCTATATGTGAAGCAATTCTGCTATGAAGAAGAGAAAAAAGGATTTGAGAAAGTATATGATCTGTAGTAGTTTGTCAAGAAAAGCGGGGAAGCATAGCAAACCAGTCAAGTTATATACACAGTAGATATAACACTTAATTGTCAACTCGGAAGAGAAAGGTGGATTTTCGACTTGTACAGCAGACTCTGTCTGACTGGTTTTTTTTCACTTAGTTGTAAAATTATTTAGTTTTGTTCAAATTCTTTTCGTAAATTATGAAGTTCTTTATTGTATTATATTGTGTCGCTTAGTCGGTGGTAGCAGCCCCCACTCGCATCTAAATCGACGAATTGAATCCTCACGTACAAAACTGTACTTATAATGTTATTCAAGTGAGTGTAATTCTACAGGTGCAATTCGTTTTTGAAAACTAGTGTACTTCGAGTACGAGGAAAGATATCTACTCCGCATTTGGAGTGTACCGCACTTTAAAAATTATAGGAGACATGGTTTCTAACAATAACTGTATCGCATTTTAATACTAGCTCAAACAAAGCATGCTTCACAATCTACATACGTAACGTTTGTAGTATAATTATAAAACTAAACTACTTCATGAACAATTACCTGAACAAGAAATCACGATGGAAAATGTCAAAAAGAAACTTGCATTCTACATTCTGTGTGTTCCCGATCAATCATAGAACGAAGTGTTAATTATACAGTAAGTTATTTGCAGTATGTCGCTGGGCGGCTCTGATATACAAGCAGGGGGGCTATTAATTTAAATAATATTATCGTTCAGTACCTTTTTTAAGGAATTTTCACTGGGGGGGGGGGGCAAAATAGGAAAAAAAGGCAGAACGAAAAATATGAGCCGTCGAGGTTGGGGAACGAGCGAATGTGAAAAGATATATTGTAAAACTTTAATTTATTAACTTGAGCTATATTTTACTTTAATAATATAAACAAAAACTTCAACTCTTTGTAGCTATAATCGTACAGCTATAACTCTTAAAGATGCTGTCAAGTCCATTCTGCGCATCGGTTCTGCTCATAACAAAGGGGGACCCACAGATGATTTCGCATCTTTTGAACTTTTTCTGAATTGAAACTCTGGTTTATATTCATTGACGAGCATACAGTAAACCAGAACAGTGTTATATATTCAGTTAGTATATCATATTTTACAAATATAGCAGTTCGAAATGTAAACAAAGCGTTTGTTTACATTACGGACTTGACAACACCTTTAATAACTTGAAATTTTCAAGAAAAAAGTTTGCAATAAAATCTCTTTGTTTATATGTGTCAAGACATGGCCTTGCATTACGTCTTTCTTTCTTGTTGAAAAAGGATACAACGGCTGGCCTTGGGTCATATGAAGCGGTTGGGACACCGTTCCAGGCTATGATCATTCTATCATTTAACGTTTTCTGGTTTGTTGTTGTCCTCAGCTTCGAGTACAGAATATTATATGTTGAAACACTTCTTTCAACTGTCATGCTATCAGGTGAAATCACCACTATTGCAGACAGCAGATCTCTTACTAAGCCAGTGCTATGTCTGAAAATACAAAAATAAATAAAAAAATATTATATATCTCAATTATCAAAAGTTACTTTGGTTTTTAGCAACACAGCTTACCTTAGCATATATAATATCCCTGACTGTGTAATCTTTTTCCAAAACGTGTGAATTAGGTTTCAGATCGTCAAGTATCTCGAAAACAGTGTCAGTAAATTCCTTCACATCATCACCAACTATACCTGCGCATTCGAGTAGTGGTCTTGAGGCAACAAGAAACTCATTTATTGATTTTGCACCACAGATGTCAACAATGTTTTTCATTATACCTTCCTGCTCATTGTCCAATCTTTGCTCAAGGAAGTTGATGGCTGCATTAATGATCTCATTTCGTATGGTAGTAAATGGTCGTCCCCGGTGATAACCATCAACTAAGGTGTGCATTCTCTTTGCTTGCCTCGATGATTCAGCAGATTGTCCAGATCGATCAGCATCTAAGGGACCATTTTCTTTTACCCACGTTTCTTCAGAACCACCAGCATATGGTGTACCTAGCATAGATCTGAGCTTCAGGAGTGCTATATCTCTGTGCTTCATAATGTCAGGAAGAACAATGCAAACTTTCTGGAATTGCTTCTGCAAGATCTGAAACACGGAGCATACATCAGACACAATGGAAGTGATATATGACTGTATTCCATCCTTTTTCCACAGCTTAATGAAGCCAACAGCACGTTTTCTTTCCCGTGTATCAAAATCACTACTTTTTGAAATATTAGCCCAGTGCTGTAGGCATCCAATTTGATTATGAAGGACAGCAATACAGACATTGTTTAAATGCTGGGAAAACCGCACATTGTGGTATAAGTGGGGAAAGCCTTCATGGTAGGAAGAACTTTTTTCAGTTCTTTCGTCCTGACGGCAGACTTGTGGTAGTATTCTGGGATGGAAAGTAGATTTGCCTTCCAAACTTTTAACTCAGGAACACTTTCTTCCATATCTTCCATTGCAAGGTCAGAACGATGGCAAGCACACCAAAAGTTCATCAGTTTTCGCTCCACATGATCTTCTAATCTCTTCCACAAGCCAGATTTAGATCCTGTATTAGCAGATTCGCCATCTGTAGTAACACCAGCAAATTTTTTTTTCATTACAAGTTTGTCTACTTCAATTGTTTTTAAACCTGTAAGAACACAATCTTCTAAGCCAGCAGCTCGTTTTAAATCCGAATCAGTTACACCAACAAACCTTGTCTTAATTTCTAATGGGTCATCAGGAGAGTTGTATTTTAGAAATAGAAACTTATTGTCACGCTGCATGGTGTCTACAGATCCATCAGTTTGGGTGGAAAACCTAATGGCTGTGTTTACTTCTTCTTTCAGTTTCACTTTCTCGAGCTCTGCAATAGTGGTAAGCATTTCTTTGTAAATGTTTGGATCTCTGTAATGCAAATCTGTTTAGCTTGGTTCAAATGGAACGAATGGACTCTGCAACCCATTCTCGTTCAGAGAAGAAATAAGCTGGTCAGCATGTGCTGTGGCAAGTGCTCTTGCAGGCCATGACCATGCTGATGGGGTTAGCAGTTTACTGTCATTATAAACGTCAATTGCAAGTTTGATCAGGTTTTCTACTGTTGTTTGTTCTTGCTTTTTCAAAACTCTTACCAAAGGATGATTTAGGTCCTGACTGGCCCACAGTTCCTTGTACTTCTTTGCATCCAATGCTGCCTGATGTATTTCACTATGCAAATGATCGATTATGTTTTTGAGTTTCTCTTCCGAATCACATCTTACTCCATGTGCTATGTAAACAATACCATGCCTTGATCTCTTTTTCGCTTGTTCTTCAAATTCCGAACAGATATTGCATTTAGCAAGCTGTCGTTTACGGGAGCCAATTTTCTCGCTATAAACTGAAATAGTTTCCTTTCCCACTTTATTTTGAATTTTGTTGATATTCAACAAATAACCTCGGTACGAATTTAAGGAGCAGCCTATTTTTTTTGTTCATTATTTATAGGAGGATTTGGCACTATGTCCCCGATTACAGGAATTATAACTGGATGAACTTGAACATTTTCGTTTGCAGCAGATTCTTTACTTGCCTGAGATGGATGAGACTCAGTCTGAACGTCTTCATCGCCTTCATCTGTCAGTTTCTCTTCGGCATCAACTGCTGTCACTGCTTCTGTATTCGTAGATTTAGGAACCACAAAAAAATAATTTGTCAACTTTTGGCACTTTATAGTGTTGCTTTTCTTACTTTCAGCTGTTTCAGCAACATTTTTTCTTTTCTTTCTAGTTTGTAAGGTCTCGTTAATATGACTTTCCATGTTCATAAACAATAAACTTAGCCAAATTTCGCGGGAAATATTCAAAGTGAATATAATGTCAGTTTATCAACAAATCTACGAAAAGGCGAAAAGCCAGAAATTGCCGCAAAAGCGTCGCGAATAAAATATCGTTATCAACAAACCGTCGAGCGGAAACGCTAGAAAATGGTCGCAAGGCTTGGAAAGGCAAGCATTTTATACGATTGTTTGTATGAAATCTACCGTTATTATGAAATATTTGGTGAAGAACAATATGAATTACACACAAGATGGCTGTGGAGGCGGCTACGGAAGGGCATAATCTCATTATCAAGTTAATCAACTGCAATTCTGACAGCAATCATGAGCAATTCTGCTTCGCACTTCGGGGGCAGAAATGGCTTTACTGGGGGGGGGGAAATCATTTCCCTGGTGGGCAATTGCCCCCCCCCCCCAGATATATAGTTAAAAAAGGCACTGTTATCGTTGTTCGTCTTTGAAAACTCACCAATGCATGTTTTTGTTTCAAAATTGTACTCGAAACCATTCTAATGTATATTATCTATATACAAGTAAGTAAATTTTAGATATATAGCAAAGATACTTGCAGGGAAGCTATAGTCCGGGATTCAGGGCCGGATTAACGTTTCGCGAGGCCCATGGCCTATTATCAGCGCGGTGCCCCTTGACCTCCCCCTCCCAAGGTATTTTAAACACTAATATACAAATATCCTTTTGTATTCCATGTAATGAAAAGTTGCCTCTGCATTTACCAAAAAAGAAATATACATCAATTGAATTTGAACTAAAATTTAAATGGTAATTTTTACGAGTACAAATTATTGTTAATGGACGATACTCAATGCGCTAGACCTAAAAATTATAGATTTAAAATGTCTATGTTAAGCCAACTCGAAAGCTACTATTGTCTAAACAAAGGAAGACTCTATCACAGACTTTGATTATTTGCTTGCCAAACCCGTAGGCTACTGCACCCAGTATCGTTTATTAATTATTGTCCAAACCACTATGTTTGACCTATTCATGACTATAACAATGAAACTATAGTTAAACATGGGCAGGTATCCTAGTTAGCTTTATCTGCCTATATCATTCTTACTTGGATTGCGAGCTGTAAAGACTGATTTAAAGAGTCACCCACCAACCACCCCATGCTCCAGCCTTTTCCCTGATGTAACGAGATGGTACAAGATGGTACTTGGAAGTAATTACGGTATGTTATGGGCCCGCCCAGGGAGTGATATTGAATTCTCGGGAACATTGAACTATATTTAGATCTATATATAAATATTATCTTCGTTGGATATTAAACGCTTATCAACATTCACTAGACTGTTATATCAATGTTATTATGTATTTAATAAAATAATAAATAAAGAATGAAGTGTTTGAGGCAATTGCTCTAGTATGAGGTCGCAATTTTACCATAGACCTCACGTTTTCCTTACGGAATTTGGCAACCTGGCATACAGCCAATTCCCATTTACAAAAATCACTCTATTTCTGCATATGAGTATATGTGCTGAGCCAGATCAGTGTTCTAAGAAATATTTCCCTGATCATTTTTTCCCAGGGCCCAGCTCAGAGTATATGTCTTGCAGGGCAGGCTAGGACCCAACTCTAAATGGAGTATATGTTCTAGCTGACTCAGGACCCAGCTCAAAATCCGTAAAAGTATATGTCTTGGGCAGATTAGGACCCAGCTGCAAATCAGTATTTGTCCTAATCGACTTTCCCCAAGATCCAGCTTTTCAATACGAGTATATGCCCTGGGAACCGCTCAGCACCCAGCTCTTCGCAGATAAAAAATACAGTATATAGAGCAGTTGTCCCACACTTCCATAACCCCACAAACCTTGTGTTCTTATGCGTGTCGTTATATTAAATATCTCAATATATATTTATTTATTAAACGGTGAGGACATTAACCCAGTTAAACTTAACCCAAGCAGCGCGTTGTATGATCAGCAATAATAATAATATCGCGTTTGCCAGGCTTGACAACTATGCAATGTGGATTACTTAATATACAGTATTGCAATACTTAGATTTTAAAGCAAGTAATAACCTACTAAAAGTATGTATCTGCTGAGCATGATTTCGGTGGAGTACAATTGGGCCCTGCACCGAAATAGGGTGGAAAAATTCGAAAAGAGTAAGCGCAGGATCGTGGCATATATGCCGCTCCTGCCGTATTGTTAATCCGGCACTGCGTGCCGGGATTGACGGACAACGAGAGGCTGGACGTTTTCCGAACACAACGAACGAAATGATGAAGCGGGGAGTTTGAGATAAAGCAGCGGGGAGTTTGCCGGCTGATCCGAGCCGACTGACTTCAGACCAGAACGTATTGGAACATCTGTAGATATTGCTCCCAGAACAATGGATTTAGTTTAAATTTAGTTAGCAAATGTGTGATGATGACAATAGGTGTATAATTTTATGAAGTGTTTCAGTTGATAATCAATTTAAAAGCGACTGTCCGTAAAAATCGAGCAAAATTTGAATTCTGCGGCAATACACGAAAAATAGATTTCGTTCATATTTTGCTCAAATTAAGGTAATACCTAGTTATAAATGGTGTTTGGGTTAGATTTTCAATATTTGGTCGATAAACGTACAAATATCAGAAATCACGAATTTGTCTCCAGGAGGCTATAATTAGACGCAGACAAAGCCGCTGCCATGGTCAGTTTCATCACTTCGTGACGGATTCAAAACTGCCCGTAGATGGTTTTGATGGTATAATGACTATAATTCAAGTATTAAAGAACAATTTTATCAATATGGAATGGTCCAGGAGGCTTTAACTGGCCCGACAGACGTTGTTGAAATTGGCTATTTTTAGTCAAATTTGAGAATTGCATTTTGTCACTGGATTTGAAGGGAAAATTTACTATGTGCGATAATCGTGAATTTGTTTATATTTCATCCACGGAATGGTATAGCATGAGTACATGTTATATATAAAAACTAGCTTGGGTTATTGCCTTGGAGCCTCACGCGAGACTTTTAAAAAAGCTCATTTTGGTGATTTCCAGTGGAATGTAACACAATTAAATCATTAGGCCCATACGTCTATACCAGAGTCACGAAGCTCAAATTGTTCAAAACTTTGAATTTTGTGTTTCGATATAATAGAATTAAAGCTAGGTAAATACAATAAAAGTACATAAGTTGAAAGGTAAATTTACTATGTGCGTTAATCGTGAATTTTTTTATATTTCGTCCACAGAATGCTATAGCATGGATACATGTTGTATATAAAAACTGGCTTGGGTTAGTTCAGGCGACAGTCAGGTAGTCTGTTTCAGACCATGTTACGATATAAAAGACTATAAAATAATATAAAAACAAGTTGACAAAGATGAGTTTAGTTCTTAGATTATTTACAAAGCAAATCTATATACCTATGAATATATAAATAATTTTAAAATGTTTGTTAGTGGAATCTGGGAAATAAAATCAATGCCAATGTTGAGCGCTTTATAATGAAAAACTATAGCTGTCAACTGAATGACAACTGTATAAAATTTATAGCTGCCTCACTGCTCGTATATATATATATATATATATATATATATATATATATATATATATATATATATATATATATATATATATATATATATATATATATATATATATATATATATATATATATATATATATATACACTGGATCCAGAAAAGTTTGACCTTCGAATATATATATATGTCGGCCATTTTGAATTTTCTTGGGTTAATTATACGCGAACGCATACATCAAATGTTGCTCGCAACGTACTGTATATTGCAATATTCCAACAGCTCAAATAAGTAGAGGATCATTGCTTGAAGTTCTTACACATATTTGTAGTAGCTATCTAATGAACATTTGAGGGTTGTTAGCTAATTAACTCTTGTCACAATTTGGAACCTGATCTTCTTGGCATGTCGTAATTTATTCTTTTGCATCCTTAGAGAGTTAGACGCTTATGAGCATGCCTCGATGAATTTCTTTGTTTATTCTTTCGTATTCACTTGTGCTTATTTTATAGCTGTAACCTACGTCCAGAATTATTATATTAAAGAGTTTGGCAACCTAGAACGGCAACGACAACTGCAACGGGGAAAATATAATTGCTTATATTGTTGTATTTGAGCCAAAGTATATACGTTACTACACTTAATTTGCCTCATTAAGTATTCCTGTTTCTTTCAAACGTACCCTTAAATAAAAATAGTCCGCGAATTCAATAAAACTCTCAAATAACATCGAACGAATGAATTGTTGCCGTAGTCATGCACCGTGAAAATGATGCAAATCACGTATTAGTTTCAACAACTACGGCATTGCACAACCGCTTAAGACCATGTAATTTACATTCGCCTTTGTTTTTGAGGATTAATGCTATTGTTAATGACCATATTGCCGTTGCGGTTGCCCTTGTATTTGCCGAACTCTCTATTATATTTTGCCAACGGAAATTTTAACGGAATCGATAGTCATTCGATATTTCATCCCCTGAAACTCAGCACACGCAGCCTTCGTGACCTGGCGAAGCAGAAACGTTCATTTCCTACTAGCCATTATGTTCATTTCCAAATGTTCATTTCCTACTAGCCATTATGATTATGTGCAAAGACATCAATCAATGATTCTTTTATTCATTTGAGCTGTTGGAATAATATTGCAATATACAATACGTTGCGAGCGACATTTGATATATGCGTTCGCGTATAATTAACCCAAGAAAATTCAAAATGGCCGACATATATATATATTCGAAGGTCAAACTTTTCTGGATCCAGTGTATATATATATATATATATATATATATATATATATATATATATATATATATATATATATATATATATATATATATATATATATACATATATTAAGATGAAAATGTTCTAGAGTGTGTATTATATAATTTCCATACCCAGCGCAAGCAGAAAGATGTTGTCTGCCGCGGCTGGGTCTTGAACCCGCGACCTTCGAATTACTAGATC